ACCTCTGTCATTATGCAAGCTACAACAGACAGTTGAACCTCTGTCATTATGGAAGCTACAGCAGACAGTTGAACCTCTGTCGTTATGCAAGCTACACTAAGGAGTTGAACCTCTGTCATTATGCAATCTTCACAAGACAGTTGAACCTCTGTCATTATGCAAGCTACACTAGACAGTTGAACCCCTGTCATTATGCAAGCTACAACAGACAGTTGAACGTCTGTCATTATGCAAGCTACTCTAGACAGTTGAACCTCTGTCGTTATGCAAGCTACACTAGGCAGTTGAACCTCTGTCATTATGGAAGCTACACTAGACAGTTGAACCTCTGTCATTATGCAAGCTACAACAGACAGTTGAACCTCTGTCATTATGCAAGCTTCACTAGACAGTTGAACCTATGTCATTATGCAAGCTACACTAGACAGTTGAACCCCTGTCATTATGCAAGCTACAACAGACAGTTGAACCTATGTCGTTATGCAAGCTACACTAGACAGTTGAACCTCTGTCAATATGCAAGCTTCACTAGACAGTTGAACCTCTGTCGTTATGCAAGCTACACTAGACATTTGAACCTCTCTCATTATGCAAGCTACTCTAGACAGTTGAACCTCTGTCATTATGCAAGCTACAACAGACAGCTGAACCTCTGTCATTATGCAAGCTACACTAGACAGTTGAACCTCTGTCATTATGCAAGCTACAACAGACAGTTGAACCCCTGTCATTATGCAAGCTACAACAGACAGTTGAACCTCTGTTATTATGCAAGCTGCACTGAACAGTTGAACGTCTGTCATTATGCAAGCTACTCTAGACAGTTGAACCTCTGTCATTATGAAAGCTACACTAGACAGTTGAACCTCTGTCATTATGAAAGCTACACTAGACAGTTGAACCTCTGTCGTTGTGCAGCCTCCGCCAGACACTTGAGCCTATGTAGTTATGCAAGCTGGCTTGGACAGTATCAGAATCCATGACAATATGCATGCGTTCGGAAATTCAACATAATTTACCATTAGAAAATCCCATTGCAATTCGCAATCAGCAGTGTAAACTACAAAGTGTGATCTATAAACGAAACACTAAATCAAAGTTGATTGGCGGATCCGCGATGTTAAGACCTGGTGAAATGGTTGCCAAAGTAAACGACATAGTGTCGTACAATTCAAAGAAGTAAAATATGCAATCATGTTAATGACAGCATCCAAAATGTCGGTATCCTGCACATGTGATGTCTGTGATGCGCACCGACCTGATCTATGCATCGGGAGGCGAGCTACAGAACTGAACTGAATCACATTACAGCTGGATCACCAAAAACGACAGCAGAAATACCAGTCTGATCAACCTATCTTCACGGACGACATCCGTCGAGATACTACGCTACCACCAGCATCCATACACTTCACATAGCCTACACGTGCAGTCAGTTTCTGCTCGGGTACAGATGATATCTGGCCGGGGATATCAATAGACAGAGGCAGCAATTCTTGCAAAAAGGATAAAATATTAATGCCGAGTTTTGTCAGGGAGTATTGATTTTCTGCGCATGCTCAGCGGCGGCAGCAGACTCCGAGTCTCCGGTCACAAAATACTGGAACATTACAGCAGAACCGGAGCAGCTTGGAAGCGCGGACAGATCTCCAGTCTTAACTCATTACGTGCCTAGGCCCGAACAACCTATCAATGTCAATATATTTAACACCATGCAGAGGAACTCGCCATGTTGGAAAAATTCAAATGAGAATATACGAATGTTGATTGCTAAGTTCTGAGCTTAGCATGGAAGCAATTGCGTAACATTTGCGATTGGTTTGTTCTGAACGTTACATGATGCCATGGACGTATATCCACACAACAATTGAGTCAATTCAGCAAATTGTAACATAAGCAGGGGTCGATGATCTTCGGATAACGGACAAACAAGTGCAGCGATCAAGAACGCTTAACGCCGTTTTTAACAGTATTCCAGTTATATCGCGGCGTGTCAGCTTAATGTGGGAGGAAAACCCGAGGTGATGCAGGTCACAGACGTTTACACTTCGGTGAAACCCACGAGTACGGGTATGGTGCTGACAAACCTAGTAACATAATTGGGGCGAGGCGGGATTCGAACCCACAATCATAGGTTTATGGAGTGTCCAAGGAACGCAACTCTGCACTGCGAATCGCGGCGCCCTTGACGACTGGGTCACCCGTGCCCCCAGTTCTTGCAGAAAAAGGGCTTAACACCAAATATCGATGACGATATGAGTCCAACCCCAGTGAATGATGCCCCTTCCTATGCCATTGTAAAGATGTGGCATGCAGAGTTTAAGATTGGCATGGAGAACCTTGTAGACGACTCCGTCCTAGAATGCGTGTCACGTCAGCAACACCAGAAATGATTCAGAGAATCTACGAAATGTTGATGACCGACCGGGTATGACTGAGCGTCATATTCATGTTCAGTAGGCATTTCCCAGAATAGAGCGCATCCCATTATCACATGAACTTTGTCATTGAAGATAACAAGTAGCCGATCGTTAGTATCGAAAGCTCCTGACATCTGACCAAAAACATACCAAGCTCAACATGTCTCGTGATAATCTACCTCTGTTTGAAGCTGATCAAGAGAAGGTTCTTGCAACGACTGTCCAAACAGCTATCAAACATTTGACATCACCACTGCCAAAGAAGGGAAAGACTGTCCAACAAGCTGAGGAGATGATGGCATCATTGTTCTGGTACGTCAATGGTGTCCTCACGGTCTTCCAAGAGACCAGACACTAAACGAAGCATATCATGTTGCACATTTGAGGTAATTATGGTATAAAATTAGGACTACTGAGACGTGAGACGCACAAATCAGTCATTGCAGTGGCTACAATCCACGAGACTGCTCGTACCTATTCTCCTAGCTGATCAGACTTTCATCTGTTCCCAAAATGTAGAAAGCTCCAGCCGGAATCCACTTCGACGATGACGTAATAGCAGCTGTGGTTAACGTTTTTGCCAAGAGATGAACATCTACGAAACTGTGATGATAACATTCCCCCAACATAGTTGGTAAAAGTTTATCAGTGTGGTAGGGATTATCAGGAATAATAAATAATTGTAATGTCTTTAGGTCAAGCCCTTCTATGTGAGGCTCATAACTTATGAAACACACCCCTCGTATGTACCAACAATTATTTCTCCACATACCCGACTAACAAAGTTAAAAGCCTTCGGTCAGATTTGATGAGATGCAGATGAGATAATTTGTTTTCCAAAACAGACGGTTCATCAGAATGCTCAGTTTATAATTCTAAACTCTCGGGTGTGCGCACTTCGAATTACTCTTTAACCAGGTCATGTAACACGGCGCCTATGCATGTCCCAGCGAGTCAACTCGCACCATTCAAGATAATACACTTTTTATCCATTTGCTATTGAACGGATACTTGAACAACATTGGTTCTGCCTATTCGTGAGCGTCAGATTGAACATGTGCTACACCAGTATAAATATTAACATCCCTCTGGAGCAGCTCGATGCTGTAATGTGTGATGCAGTAGATATATTATTAGGTCCTTTCACAATGGTTTGGGGCAGCTAATCTAACACTCATAGAATTTCGTCCTTAGCTGTTGTAGCTAGGTTTTTATTTAGTTGCATGCCCAAGGCAGCTCGTAAAATAGAGTGATCTCCCTTCGTTGTTTACAGTCCAAGCTCCGTCTTAGCGCATGATATCTTCTTTACTCTCCTGGTATAGAGAGCTTCGCTGTGAGAAGCTTCTTTACAGTTTTCGATTCACTTCCTCATTCGAGAGGGTTCGCGAGGTCTAAAAGCGAGACGAGGGCAACTGGACGCATTCTACGATCTGACTTGCGTCCTAGGTACTGGCCCAGTGTATTGGAAAATCGGATTTCTAGGTCAACGTTCGCGTTTCAACTTGAGAACCAACAGGCAACAATGCTCATATCAACGCCGACATTTCATGGTGATGCATACATACATACATACATACATACAAATACTCTCTTTGCGTGTGTACAATAGTTCAAACGAATAGCACTCGTCTACAAAGTCTATCTGTATTTATCTTGAAAACAATTATGTAAGAACAGAAATATTCATACAATGAAAGTCGAAAAAACATGTAATCAATAAATATATGCAATTTGCTCGCGTTTCCTCCAACTCCATTGGCTAAACATTCATAGGTGACATTTCAAAGGTCAAACCTGGTGAACATCAACATGTATTAGTTGGGCAGTATGAAAATTCTTTTTAGACACCTCGGAGTTCGAATAAACGGGAGCACACTGTCAGAAGCAACAGATCCCAGATACTAACTGCCGGGCAATAACATGAGGCAATGGGACTTCCTCCGTGGTGATTGGTTACACATGGTATATTGGCACATGTAAAGTTGATATTGGTAATCCATTCCAGGGCTATGTGCAATACACCACATGACATCTGTGTTGTGTTTACCGTTACACTGAAATAAACATCTCCGGCTGGGAAACATACATAGCGACACATCAATCACTGAACAACAATTATACTCAACTGCCGTATACAAACTCAGTCCTCGGTTAGTATTCTATAACTTATTTGTACGTAAATATGAAGCTATGGATAACTACTTTTGTGTTACATTTGTGCGGCGTTTGGGAGCACATTATGTCGCCATTATCAGGCATCTGCATTGAAACGTCGCAAAAATGTAAATAAAGCCAAAATTATACCATATCCATTTAGGTAATCAAAATTTGAATATACTGGCATATGCTCCTATCCTTTCATTTTGTGTTAAGGTAATGTAGATGAATATCATTCTCGTTAACTACTGAAGGATGAAGAATTGGTAATTGTAAGCAGGTGATTATGAACTGTTACAAATATCTACATGCAATTCAAGATTAAATTACTGATACGATAATATTGATCACAGCAGCGGAAGAAAACGTCAAATCGTGGTGGAATCTTTTAATCAGTGTGACAGAAAAGGAACGATAACTCACTCTGGGTACGTCTTAAGCTCTTTCAGCTTCCCCTGTAGTAGAGCGCATGTGCGCAAATCTGAGGTATCCACAGCCCTACGCCTCGCCACCCTAGGGGCGGGCTCCTCCGAGAGTTGCTCCATGTGGCCGAACAGTGAGGGGTAGGGGGTGCTCCCAGATACGATGGAGGCACGCCGCCGTTGCGATACATGGCGGCTTCCCGTCGCCCCGATCATGTTGCGAGCCTTGTAACGTAGACGCCCACTTGCTGAAAGAACAAAATCATTTTCGTTAGTTACGATCAGACACAGACGAAACGAGAACATGATGTATGTTCCCATATTTGGTAAACTGCACTTAACGTCTGTGACGTTAACGCTCACACGTCAGGGAGTCGTGACGTATAGTTGTGGAAGTTGGTGATGTGTATGTGCAACACCACGTGGAAGGGCTGACAGGGCCAATACGCCCATGTTCAAATCACGAATCAACCATAAATGAGGTAATTTATTTGAAAATAGAATATGAACTAAAAAACAGTGCTATCATCAGTCCAGGGTCAGTACAGTAGAGTCTGCTTCACCATAGTGCGCAACTATATTGCTCCACACGGCGCGTTGTACACTTGCATTGTGACCTCTTCGTCACACGGTAAGACATATGTCGTTTACCACGTAGTTCTTGATACCCCAACTTTATGAGTTGTTTTTTTAAAATACCAGGCGGAGCTCCAAACTGCAAAACGATTATACTTGGAGTCCCCACTCGACTCAGTGGCCCCAATAACGCCATGAGGGGGCACAGGTGGCACAGTCGTCTAAGGCGCCGCGATTCGCTGTGCAGAGTTTCGTCCCTTGGGCACGCCAGGAACCTATGACTGTGTGTTCGAATCCCAGTTCGCCCCAATTATGTTTCAAGGTTTGTCAGCTCCATACCCGTGCTCGTGGGTTTCGCCGAAGTGGTAAACGTCCGAGACCTGCATCCCGTGTGCGAAATACGCTTGAGTCGGAAAACGCACGTTAAATCTCCAATGTGATTGATTGATTGATTGATTGAGACCTGCATCACTTCGAGCTTCCTTCCCACATTAAGCTGACACGCCGTGATATAACTTAAATAATGTTAAAAGCGGCGTTTAACCCAACTCACTCACTATAACGCCATTGAACATGTGCGTTTGCGACATTAAACCATACGTTTCTTTAATGGGTTTAACCATTGTGTTTATTGTACAAGGGCATACGCTCTATTAATGATTGAGCGAGGTCACTTATTCAGAGATTTTACATCAACGACCAATGCCCAGCTTCTCAACCTGATCCCGCTTGTTGCGAACACGGCTTTACAATATTCAAAGGGAAATAACTCCAATGTGAGAAAACACTTCTTTCATCTTCAAACTTCATACCAGGAAACTATTTTCGGGTTCGAATGTGTGTTTTGAACTCTCTGCTTTTGTTCCTCGTATTTAACTCACGCACATTAAAACATTGTAATACTAAGTTACACAGTAATATCTGAGACCACAGTACGGCTGATCTGACGCAGCCCGCCCGAACCTACATGATAAACAACAGTGGGTTGAATACTGAAGAACCCCCTCCTTGCATGGGATATTTACTTGTGTTCCCTACAGGAAACTGCCACAAAACATCTAAATACAACGGTATGTGCGTGTGTCTGTGTGTGGCGGCTTGTACTATTCAGGATTAATGTCTGTTTTATAGAGCGAGCCGACTAAGATACCATGCTTCATATAAACATGGACACCACACAACACAGTATACTGACTCAGAGTCGGTCAGTTCTTGTTTTAACCCCTGAATGCCGAGCGCCAGACAGAGTACCATGTTGGTACGATACGGCCAGGTGATCGGCGACAGAAGCTGTGTCCACTACACCACACAGACGATCAGTCCTAACTGAGCGAGCAACTCACGTCCAATGCTGCCAGGAGATTATGCCAAACAAAGATGATGCAGTCATTTTAACGACAACAGTTACTACCAGGATAACGTGTCAAGATTCATGAGGCCACAGCGCCACGGCGGGGTCATGTCATCTGTAACACTCGCTTATCAGGATCTAGTAAATACAGAGGTCCGCATAAAAGAGGTCAAGCCTAAACACAATCAGATTAAGCAAGTTATTATGGTCCAGTGGTGTAATACACTGAGATTCTTGTGGAACCTCGTTCAGCGTAACTACCAAGACACGAATGAAAACAAACTGAAATATGCATAATATACGGCACAAATACGTTCAGGAAATCAAAAAAGATTAGTGCATCAATCATCCGTTATGTTCTGTTAATACACTTTTAAAATGTCTCTGAGACCAACCTATCGCCAACTGTAACTACTTACCCTGTATATAACTGCCCCTACATGTAGCCCGCCTTAGTCTCACAGCATACTTGCGCCACCCACACACGGTGAGCAGAGCTTCACTCAATTATTTAGCCACATATAATGCATAATTGACTATTTCAAAAGGGTCAAAACTGTTTTGCTGTAACGATATTTGACTGTCGTTATTTTTATTGATAAATGAACTTTTAGATTCATCTGCGAAATGTTTTACCGTTAGCAGTATATAGTAGTGATTCCACTCCAGAAGCGGTGAGGTGTCGTTGAGACAGCACACCCCAAGGAGGGTCTGTCACTGCACGCTGTACTTGACATTATGGCGTGGAATTTATTCTCTGAAAATTACTAATTTAACCACCCCTACCCTCAAAAAAACAAAACGGGTCGGTTCTAATCCTACCCCCGACCCCCTCACCCCTTACCCCAACCCCACCCCAAGTACATCGGACACATAAGCTAGACAATCTAAATTCTTTAACAGTTCAATAACCAACGTTTCCATAGAAACAAGACTTGTTATAAACATAGAGTATACACACGTGCACGTCGCTATCTAAGAGCATAATACTGAACGCGACGTTAAACCGCAATGCACTTCACCTCACCACATGAGAGTGACGGCATGATCAGCTTTCAAAGTTTATATTTTGTTTGTTGATAATTTAACGCCGCCGTAAATAATCGAGTCTGGACCAGACAATCCAGTGATTGACATCATGAGCATCGATCTACGCAATTGGGATACGATGACATGCATCAACCAAGTCAGCGAACCATATATATATCACAGCGAGGAATGGTTGCACCAGTTGTTTCCTGTCACTAGGCTAAAAGCTCAAGGACATAATTCCGTTAACTATATGTGATCTTCTATCCCATAAACGGCCACACAGGTAATAAATTAAGAAAGAGACTGGTGTCGACAGACGATCCAATTTCAAGCAATTTGACGAAGCGTTTAGTGCTCACATGGAAACACCTGCGCAACAGCGATTAACATTTCAATACATTGATTAATGATATGCTTGTAGATTACGTAACTATTTGTCAGTGTTTTAGAACCATGCGAGCTTCTTTGTAAACATACCTCACGGAGCGACTATCCTGTCACGCATCAACCTCCTTCGGACATATTAACCATTTTAACGAAGCTGCAAATAATTAGTAACTTAATTATACCACTTGACATTCCATCAGTCCAGTGTACGTTTATTCAGGCATCATTCGCACTTAATGACGTTATTTGACTGTTGTCGGTCATGAATCTACATACCTCTTTGTGCACGCCTATGTTTAGGTGTCGTGGAGAGGAAACGGTTCATGTGATAGACAGAGCGGGTTGTGATGCAAGGGGAATAACTCTTTCTGACATGACAGGCCAAGGTTCTTCTCAAAGCATTGAAACGACAGGTTCAAAACAGTTTTAACTTTTGGTGTCTGATATATATTTTTATCGTTTGTATATACGTGGAATGAACTACGTCCAATCCACCCCACCCAACGTGCTTGTTTCTTGAATCTAGTATCCCTCCTGAATTAGTGCTCTGGCTGTAATGAACAACTGCATGTTATCAAATTAGCCTCCTGTTGTCAGATTAAGAAGCGTGTGCAGACAGGAAAGGAGTTGGTGATAGAAGATACACTTTGAGAGGAGACAATCGAAATAGAAAGAAAACTGACGTCACCTGGTCATTGTACTAGGTCATGCCACCCCACGCGGGTAGGGTGATACAAATGGCATGCCACCCCATACTGTTATAGTATATTGCCAAACAGGTTGTTTTGGCAAAACGTCTAAACTAACAAGCATGTTATATATTTTTCAATTGGAAATGGTTCAATACAGGATATATATATCACGGAACTTGAAAAATGCCCATCTAGTTACATAACCAAACATGTAGTAACTAGTTATAAGGCCATTCATTCATTCATTTATTCATTCATTCATTCATTCATAATGCCCAACTACTTATGGTGTCTAATTGATTGTAACTCTTAACAAAAGTTATGATGTCAAACTGTATATAATGCCAAACAAGAAATACTGCCAATTATGATATCAAATTTCTTATACCAAACAGGTTATACTGCCACGCTGGTTTTAAAGCCCATCTGGTCATACTGCCACGCTGGTTATAAAACCCAACTGGTCATACTGCCAAGCTGGTTATAAAGCCCAACTGGTCATACTGCCACGCTGGTTATAAAACCCAACTGGTCATACTGCCAAGCTGGTTATAAAGCCCAACTGGTCATACTGCCAAGCTGGTTATAAAGCCCAACTGGTCATACTGCCACGCTGGTTATAAAACCCAACTGGTCATACTGCCACGCTGGTTATAAAGGCCAACTGGTCATACTGCCACGCTGGTTATAAAATCCAACTGGTCATACTGCCACGCTGGTTATAAAGCCCAACTGGTGATACGGCCACGCTGGTTATAAAGCTCAAGGACAAATATTGTCATGTAGGTCCTGGTGCTGGTAGAAATGTACCTGGTTATGTACACGCGACAGACCTTGGAGTTCATCGACATTTTCTATAAAACCAGTTACCTTTAGCTCGACGCTTCCTTCTATACAACCTTTTTATAGAGATCATATTGGCGCTTGTGCAGTATTAAATACTGACATTCGGCTGTGCGAGACCAGCGTATATATAGAGAGCGACCTGTTCTGCTGCTTCTGAGGGTTAGTTGTGTATGTTATATAAGATGTGGTACATGACTGATCAATACGCCTCACAGAGTGGGATGACTTCCTACACATACTGGCGGCCATACAATAACTGAGAGTGAAATCACGCTGATTTCCTCGCTTGCCTGTTCAGGCATGTAAATCACGTGCACTCGTCTCCACAAGCCAATGCACCCTTGTGCCAAATGCCTGTTGTAAT